CTTGTCACTGGGACCCTAATTAAGATCATATCCACTGCAATGAATGGAAAATACATAGGCATATAAAAACATAATGGGGGCTCATGTATACTTTGATAGATCATATCCACTGCAATGAATGAAAAATACATAGGCATATAAAACATAATGGGGGCTCATGTATACTTTGGTAGAAACAGTTGTTTGATGGCACTACTGGACATACTGAACATGCTGAAACTGTCTGTGAAAGGTTGTCACAAGCAGGTGCTTCCACAGTAAGTGCACTTGATTGATTGTATATGCAATAGAAAAAATAGATAAAGTAAATGATACATGTAAAATAGATGGAGTTTTAAAATTGGAAATGATCTCCCATGGATCCGATTTATCAATAATCGGTAAAGCCTGACCATCTTCCATGGACACAGGTTATTCTAACTATAGATCTAGTAAAAAGAATTTATATGTATATACCTTGATACATTTTAGGGGGTGGATAGGTGATATGATGTGTTTTTATTAGTTTTCAAGGAGAAAGGGAATAAAGACATACATTCAATATTATTATTGGACACTCATGAGTAGATATTGTCATGCCGTTGGTAATGAAAGATTATTACATGTATACACCACTCCAAAGGAGCGGGGTGTATACTGTTTCACCCTTGTGTTTCTGTCTGTGTGTCTGTGACAAATTTTTGTCGCAGTTTTCTTAGCAATTGCTCATCACAGATGCTTGAAATTTTAGCACACTCTGTTTAGGCATGTTATATGGTGGGATTCATTTTTGTACGAATTCAGTGTCAACATGAGAGGATATACTTACATCAGAGCGGGGGTATTTTTAGTGAGCATTTGCTAACAGACTTCGTTTTAATATGCTGTTTGATGTTGGTAAAGTTTTAATATTGGAGTGCATCATTGCCAAAATGACAAATTTTGAATGCTGATCAGTGATGCAGTAATATACTGGTTTACTGCAGTCATGAGAACTAACATGAAACAATAGAAGTGTATTTTTAGTGTTTTTGATTGTTCATTTTAGATTTCCTTAAGCTCATCAGAAAAAGATGAAGTCAGAGAAGATGATTTATTGAATGCTGAGGCAACTGTTACAGGTGACATAGTAAGTATGATTCCATGTCTTCAAGTAAATCACATATCGTAATTGAGAAACTTTATCACATTTGGACATTTTGAAACTTAAAGCTGAACACGATTCATAAAGGAAATTTGTCTGCTATATTCATATCATGGTGTAAACCTTTTTACGAGCTCTAACTTTATTCTGTTACTAAAGAATTGCACTATTTAAAGGCTCATTTACAGGTTCAGAATAACATGCCATATCAAGTTATGTGTTCACTTGAGTCAGATAAAGCACAGGATACAGTGAGTTCTTGATATATATATTAAATAGAAAAAATGCAAAAACAACTTTCTTAATAAAGTTTTTCTTTTGTAGAATTAACTTTAAAGTATTGACAGAATATAATAATCAGCTTCATTTTTACAAAATATTTTTGCTAGTTTCATGCTGCAATTTTTGAATTTATTTTAACTGACTTTAAACAAAACTTTATAGGCTTCTTGTACAGATGAAATCCTTCCTAATAGTGACCCACCCAAGAAACAGTCAAGGGGAACACGGTTGGGATTAAAAAGAGAGAGCTCAGAAGTATAGGTACTGTACTGTGTTGTCTTTGGAAGATTTTTGAAAATATATTGTTATAGTTTTAAGTTTGTAAAGTTGTTCTGGATGTTGTAAATACTTAGTATCGCGATTACCTCCCAATTACCTATCTTAATGCCGCTCTTCTGGTGGCGAAGTCGAGAATATCTAAATCTCGCAAGATTTTCGGGGCATGAATTACTTACGCTAGTGACAATCAAATGATTCAAACAATTAGTATGCCGAAAGTACAATGTATTGCAAAGGGTTGAACTTCAAATAGTAGATTGTCTAATTGGAATGTTTAGACGCTGGTGAGTTAAGGATAGGTATAGGCATTTCTATGCAAATAATCTAGTTAAAATGCCTAAGGACTATATCTGTTATACAGAGAAAGTTAAAACTCATTGTCTAATACATACTTGGTACCTACGACATGAGATAGCCAGTACACATTATGACGTCATATTATGACGTCATTGTTTTTTACTGCACAAGATTATAATGGATATCAACAAAAATGTTTCGGCGCAAGGGCATGCAGTATTTTATTTTATTGAAACAAGGTATATTTAGAAACAAAATATTCCAAACTTTGCTGGTATTGCTGCACAAATATCAACAGCTCATTTGTATAATTTCTATTTGCAAAGTTTTAAGTTGAATAAGGGTAAAAATGTACAGTCCGGTATAAGTTTCCTCAAATTCCGATCAAATGAGAAAATGCCTAGGATTTGTGCAGTAGTTTTTGTTTATCTATATAATATTCTTCTTAGCATTATACAATTTTTATGTTAAAATAAATAGGGTAATCCTTGCGCCGAAGCTGTTTTGTTGATGTGTTTTATTACCTCCAATAGGTAAGATCAGTGACGTCATAATATGACGTCATAATGTGTTCTGGCTATAAAATATCGCGGGTACTTAGTATGCATAAGAAAATAAATCGACACTTTCTCTGAATAATAAATATACCTCTCATGCGTTTTTATTAGCTCATTTGCATAAAAACGCCTATACCTAGCCTTAACACACATGCGGAGTTTTATTTTATCAGCTTCCAAAAGTAACTATTATCAGAAAGAAATGGTTGAATTTAATTAGATGAGTCGGCTTAGTGAAAAAAGATCAATAAAAATGTAAAACATTTGGACTAGGTTCTCTTGAAATTATTAGCGTGGTTCAGCGAATGTTCCGCAAGATATTCCACTAGGACTTCTTTCATATCTACCCTTTAAAAGTCCACAATGCTAGATCTTGCGTTGTATACAATAGCACATTGCCCCCAGGTAATAAACGTTTCCTACCTTCACCGCGAAAGAGTTCCATTAAGTTAAATAATCACAATATCAAATATTGAAACAATATTTATTAGATCACAGAGCCAAGGGTGTTGGTCTATTGTCTGTCTTAAATAGGGGAGGGGGTAAATTGATGAGTCCCATATCATGAGATCAAAATTTTATAAAGTGGAGCTGGGAAAGAATTCTTTTGAAAATCAAAATGACAGGGTTATGATGACAAAGGTGAGTGGTATAGTCCATAGGTCTCTTGTTACTTTGAAAGAGTATGAAAATGCCTGCACATATGTAGTAGTAATGACCTGCACATTTATATAGTAGTAAAAGACTTTTTTATATTCTCATATTTAAGAGTTGATTGGATCCAGTTTTTGATATTATTGGAAATATAAAACATTACATTCTTTTTTAGGTATTCAGGTAGACATGTTTGAGAAGTGTGAAACTTGCGATATTGGCATTCAGTGTGGGGAGACGGAACATACTGAAATGGAGGATTTTATGGAAAATGGTATTTTTGACAAGAACACAAACCAGAATTCCAACACTGAAAGGAAAGTTGTTTCACTCCTGACAGCTCCACGTGTGACATTACAAAAAATGATGTAAAGTAAGTATACATACACCTGTATGTAAAGCTGATTTTAAAACTTCAACTACAATGCCCACTGCTTCACAAAATAACAAGAATTTTTGCTACTAGCCTTTAAACAGCTTTTATAGTTATTTATTTTTAGGTTGCAAGATTTCAAGGTCTGTCTCTGTCTTTCTGTTTGCAACTTTGTATTTTTCTTTTAAGCTATACAAGACAGAGACATAATATTTGATCATGAGAAAGGTCAGAGGTCATTGTCAGTAAGGAGACAATGTCATTGATGGTAAACGAATGTCATATTTGCTTCCATGGAACCTTTTAATCACTGGGGACATAGCGTTTAACAAACAATTTTGTTTTAATTTTAATTTTGGGAATTTTTAGAAAATCATGTAAATACCATGTAATGTGTTTGGCATTTTTATGATTTAAAAAAAAATTCTGCGATTATCGGTTTCAAATCTTGCTAGAGCTGCTTGATGCGACATCAGGTAAGTCCAATGGTATGTTTTAAATTTTGTAGTACTGAAGAAATGCCAATGGAGGAGCCGGAACCTTGTCATCTAGAGGAAAAGTTTTTAGTATTCAAGTGGCAACTTCTACAGCTCTTTCAGTTTTGCCCAAGATGTCATTTTCCAGTTCGTGGTGTTGTTAATAAGAGAGTTGGAACTTGCATTCATATAGCACAGAAGTGCTCTGCATGTAAATTTGTCAATAATTGGGTCAGTCAACTTTATATTGGAAAAATGCCAGCTGGAAATCTTCTTCTTTCAGGTTCCATTTTATATTCTGGTAGTCTTAGTAGCAAGTGCCCGCTAATGTTCAAGTTTTGAATATGGCTTGTTTTGGACGCAGTACATTTTTTAGGTAAGTATTACTTTTCAATATATTAGAAACTTGATTGGTTTATAGTCAATGTCTAATCTGGGTCATTCACCAAGGTGATTATTGATTTATCAATTAAATGTTAGGGGGGGGGGGGTATAGCATTTCACAGTCCAATTCTAAGTTGTTAGGCATATCCTGGAAGTTCATAATTTAGAAATACATAGAATTTCCATTGTGCATGTTGGTACCTTTTACCATATTTATGAACTTTATATTTAGGCATCAACAACAGTATGTTTTACCAACAGTTGTGCTTCGTTGGAGGCAGGCACAAAGTTCTATCATTGCCGTCTTAAAGTCACAGAACAGAGGGTTGGTGCTTGCTGGTGATGGACGCTCGGACAGCCCTGGTCATTGTGCTAAATATGGTGCATTCACTTTCATTGAAACCAAGATCAACAAAGTTCTAGACATTCAACAACTGCAGGTACTTTTATAAGTTATGTTGATTTATTCTTTATTTATCCTTTGTTTTAGCTTAGGAGATAAAATTTTGATATTTTGAATTTATTTTGTTTGAATTTCTTATTTATAATTTGAGCTGTTGCTTTAGAAATTTTTGATGGCACAAAATATAATGTATGTGCTAAAATAGCTTCAGCATAGATTCAGTTTTTAAATATGAAAAATTCAAAAAAATTGTTGAAATTGAATATACTATTGAGCATCATTGATTAAATTGAATAAAACTGTCATTTCATTCTTATCCTAGTTGGGGGGGGGGTGTAAAAAGTTATTTATTCTGGCTAGTAAAGTTTTGCCATCACTAGCCTGCATGGGCTTGTGCTGAAAGTTTTTGGTGCATACTGTTTGTGTTGAAGAGGTTTTGGTATGATACTAAAACCTTTGTTTGTTTTTTTTAAGACTTGTTTTTGTTCACCTTTATTTTCTGGAACAGCTACATGTATATCTCAATCAGGTATGTTTATCACATGTATATCTTAATCAGGTATGTTTATCTAAGTTATGCATGATTTTCCTCTTAAGTGTTTTGGAAGGACTAGAGAATAGTTATTGCTATTTTTTGGACAATGTTTATTTTTTTTTACAAGTAAGAACAAAAAAATTATGTTTCCTCCATTATTCATCATACATATAGAAGGAAAAAATTATTGAAGGGTGTATTAGAATACATGTCTCATATTTGTTCTATTTTTTCCACAGAGCAATGAAGTTCCAAATAGTTCATTGTGTGAGCATGAAGGGTTAAAAAGAAGTGTTAGATTTCTGAAGGATGAGGGGTTGGAGTTAGACACCCTTATTACAGACAGACACAGACAGAATAACAAGTGGATAAAGGAAAACCTTGATGGAACAAACCACTTCTATGACATCTGGCATGTTGCCAAGGGTAAGTACGTACTTATAAATGAAGAAAAATTAAAGTGAACAGTATGGATCAGACTAACGTTAGTCTCAGACTAATACATTTGCATTCGGACTAATAAAATCTGTGACTAATTAGTCCGAGCGGACCAATAAAAATTTCTGGGAAACAGTATGAATAAATTACCGATGTCCGAGTCGCCCGCGTGGCGCAGTGGTTAGAGCGTCTGCGCTAGAGTCGCGAGGTAAGGAGTTGATCCTTACGTCGCGGGTTCGAATCCTACTGTGGGACGTGGAGACTGGTCCTTCGGATGAGACCGTATAAACCGAGGTCCCGTGTCGCAGTAGGTGTTGGCACGAAAAAGACCCCTCACTGCTCAATGGCCGTAAGTGCCGAACATAGGACAAAATTTGCAGCTCTCCACTGGCAATTTGGTGGCGTCTCCATATGAGTGCAAAATTCTCGAGAGGGACGTTAAACAACAAACAAACAAACAAACAAAACCGATGTCCGATTCTCGACAACTTTTACTAGAAAACCCCGCATTTATTTTTAGATTTCTAGCTTTTGGCGGGTAGTTACGCAATTCCGAGTCAATTCAGCGCTTTATTTTTCGATTGATCGATATGAAGTAAAAGGTTTTAGCGATCATGATTTAGTATGACACTTTAAAGAAAGATGTTGGACATTTTGAATGTAATGTAAAGAAAAAAAAAACACCAAAAAACCGAGATCGGTAATACGATCGTACTTGCTGATTGCGAGATTTCTATGAATCTGTGGAATAATATATTTCACGTAAATGCTTTGTTTATTTAAAAAAAAAGTATTAAATGTATATTAATTGTCACGGTAAATTAATGTATAAAACATTTTTTTTTGACGGACTCATAAAATCGCGTGCGGACTAGTAAAAGTAAAGAAGCACTAGTCCGGCCGGACTAAAGCCTTAAAAAGTTAGTGTCGAACCCTGTGGATATATTTAAATATTAAACATTCAAGTGGTATGAAATATTTACATTCAGGTATATATTTAAAATTATATCCTGCGAGTTCAACATATGTATTAAATTTGTAGGCACGGGGAAAAAACTGGATGCTTTGGCAAAGGTCAAGGATTGTGATATTGTTGGTAAATGGAAGCAGTCCATCACCAATCATATGTATTGGTCCGCAGGTTGTACACCAGATAACAATGCGGATATGATTGTTGCCAAGTGGGAGTCTGTTATCCAGCATGTGCAAAACATCCACACCAACCACCAAAATGCTCTTTTCCAAAGTTGTCTTCATGATCCACTGGAAGATGATGAGCGGGAGATTAAGTGGCTTAATCCAAGTATTATTTATTATGCCTATTCAAATTAAACATCTTTTTTAACGTATTTTAATCATTCTGTAGAAATTTGAGTCGGTCATCCAAAATAAATCACAAATGTAAATGTAAGAAATACATACATACATACATATATATATATATATATATATATATATATATATATATATATATATATATATATGTGTGTGTGTGTGTGTGTGTGTGTGTGTATTGGAATTTTTAGCAAGCAAAGCCTTTGAACAATTGGAAAAGATTCTTTTAAACAAGACCCTCTTAAAAGACATTTCAAGACTTTCCAGTTAGGAGCAGACATCTTTCTTGGAGGCTTTTCATAGCTTGATACTCCATTTTGCTCCCAAGAATATAGCCTTTTCTTATCTTGGAATGTTATGTCGGTGAGTAAAATAGCACTAGCACATTCTAACATCTGAGTAGCCGTATGATGAACATTACTGTTTTAAAGCCAACTGGCAGTTTCTATCTGCACAAACCAAAATAGATACTATGTGCTTTAATTAATTTGTGATTTTTTTTTCTTCAAAATAACCAGACTCTACTTGGCTGGACTCCATTATAATGAGAACTCTGATCGTGACCAAATGTTCAACATACAAGGTGAAGCTTGCTTCACCATCAGATACCCGAAAGGAAGGAAAAGAGAAGCTGTTGTATGTCCAGACAAAACTAAGCCTACTTATGGTATGGGATCATATTAATGAAACTTTCAGTTGATCTTAAATATTCAAATGTTATTTTCATATAATAATAAAAGAGTCCTCATTGTTGTGTTCAGCTACTATATCACCTGATATTTTCAAAAGAATCGTTATTGAAAGAAATAGTAAGCTGAAAAACTGTATTTCAGATTATGCCATGCATCTCCAACAAGAATTGGTAGATCGATATATACAAGGGCCAAGCCAACTACGAGATTACATCAATAATCTATGTGCTAGGGTACCTAACTGTCTATCCACAAATGCAGATCAACCGGACAAGGCAGAGGCAGTGGAGATGTTTGTGTCCAGATTTAACAGATAACACTTGAAACATTTATTTGTGTCTATTAATTGTGCTTTGTACCAGTACTAATCTTACTTTATTGTTACAGCCACATAAAATTGTAAACTTATATTTTCACCTTATGAGAATTCCGTAGAAACTTTGTGCACAAGGCATGAAGAATCATCTTGTTGTTGAGTAACAAAACCAGTATGTACATGTACTTTATTGCCTTTAAGGTCTGACAAGTTGTAAGAATTTGTTGAGAAATGCTGCATTAGACAGTTTTTGGGGGGTTTTAATGCTAAATTTTTAGAATGACCTTACCTAGGTTTCTAGTTATTTGGCCACTCAAAGTTTTTGTATTGTCCATCATTTAATAATAATAATAATAATAATACTTTATTTAGAGAAGGTAGCCTGATTAGTGTGACACACTATTCTTCCCCAGGGCCTTCTAATTACAACAATCATACACATGTACATCAAAGTAGCAAAGATTAACAACTAGCAATTGAAATATAATATACAAACAATGTCACATGATAATAATGACAATCATCATAATTATAATAATAAATATATATATTATGATGACAAATAAATTTATATACATTTGTAAGATTTGACACAATATACATATACAAAAGATATAAATCAGAGTAATGAAATTCTATTGTTGAAGATATACTTTTCTACATTTCGTTTAAAGACTGACAGAGTTGGTGAACATCTTAAATCTAAAGGCAAACTGTTCCAAATATGAACACCAGAATACTGGAAGGAATTTTTAAACAAATTAGTTCGGTGTTTTGGAAGGCGAAGGTCAAAATTAGATTCTGAACGTAAAGTGTAAGCATCAGAAGTTTGAAAAATAAATAAATCTTGCAGGTAAGCAGGGCTCTGATTGTTAAATATTTTGTACAATAAGATACATTTGTGTAAAGTAACTAAATCAAAAACAGATAGCCAGCCTAATTTTTCAAATAATGCCTTAGATGGAGCATCAGGGGCAGCATCAAGAATAATTCTAGCGGCCCGTTTTTGGAGCTTATGAATTTTCTCCAAGTAACTAGCTGGTGCATTACCCCAGACCGTCAGACGATAATTAATAGAAGGCAGGATAAAGGCATTGTAAAACAGTTTTCTAGTTTTCAGAGGAAGAAATGCATTTCTAATGTGTGAAATTACACAGGCTAGTAAAGGAGTACGGTTGTTCCTTCCCAGGAAACCCCAACACCATCTTACTAATTGACGATAAGCCACATATCGAAACTTCCTAAAATGTTACACATTTTTTTTTGTAAAGATTGTGCTATAATATATAAAATGTTTTTGATATTTAACCATGGTTGGATGTTTCTTTTATAATATGTATTTCATGGTATGGTTTTATTTTTTAAGACGACACTCACTGATGCTGGGGTTTCTGTATTCTTCCCCATTCTTGTCGGTAAGCATAATAGGCTGTTTCTAGAACCCATGGATCCAAACAAACACTTTGAAATCCAGGATGTGATGTTATACAAATAAAATCCTGATTGGTATGTTTGCCTCCCTCATTAATTTTAGCTTTTGTTTTGTCACATTCTTGACGGCAAAACCTGTTGTCTGGACATTCAATAGGTTGACATGTACCACATGTACACCTAAAATGCATATATATTAGTTATTCATTGCCATACTGGGAGAGGGGTCTTTGCTCTTTTGTTTTAGGGATGAAATACAGTCTTAAAAATTGTATGCTTGGAATTGCAAGAAATATTGACTGTTCACACGTTACTACATGTAACAGACAGGAAAGTCTGAAAACTTAAGCAGTTTGGTGATAATTGTTCATTTTGATCTATTAAAACATTGATACTCAATTGTTATTGCTGATTTAGGGAACTCGGATCCTTCAACTGGGCCGGAATTTCATAAATATTATGGATTCTGTAGAGGACTACGCCAGGCGATGGACCAGACATGAAAAAGAAGACCTTGACACTTTGTCAGAATGGATTAAATGTATCAGAAGTATGTTAAAATCGTGCATTAAAAGATTGAGAGGCAATATGAAAACCATCTATCCTTCTGTATTCAATAACCCAGAAGTGAAAAAAGAATTAGATAGATTACATGATCAGTACGTACTGGTCCCTGCTGACAAAGCAGGTAACAACATTGTCTTTGTTTGTAAGGCTCATTATATTAAATGTATTTTAGAGGAACTTGGATTTAATTCTACAAGTGGTAATCCAACTTATACTCATAGTTCCCTTTCTAAGGAAGAAATTCTTCAAAATCATATGTCAGTTTTGAATATTTTTAATATTCCAAACAACCAAAGTGAATTTGAATTACCATATTTATATTGGATTCCGAAACTTCATAAAAATCCTTACAAAGATACATAGTGGGTTCCAGTAAATGTTCAACCAAGCCTCTATCTTTACTCCTCACTAAGATATTAACAGTGGTGAAGGAGAAACTTCAAGAGTACTGTGCAACAATATATTCGAGAAGTGGTGTAAATCAGATGTGGATACTAAAAAAATTCCAAGGAACTTTTGGAAAATTTGAAATCGCAAGATTTTACCAAAATCAACAGCTTAAAAACTTACGACTTTTCAACTTTGTACACAACCATTCCCCACGATAAATTAAAGTCCAGGCTTTTTGATATCATTGACAGCTGCTATTTCAATAAAAATGGAACTCGTAAATATACTTACCTTGTCATTGGTCATTTGCAAAATTATTTTGTTAAAAAACATTCTGATTGTTCACACAAGTACTCTGAAGTTGACATTAAAAAGATGCTTGAGTTTCTGATTGACAATATCTATGTGGTTTTTGGAGACCAGGTCTTCCAACAATCTATTGGAAATCCCATGGGTACCAATTGCGCCCCGTTATTAGCAGACCTTTTTTGTATTCATATGAAGCAGAATTTGTCCAAAATCTTGTACGTGAAAAGAAGAAAACACTTGCTGTGGCCTTCAACTCGACATTTAGATATATCGATGACGTATTGTCAATTAACAATGGCTATTTCCATCCTTATGTCGATACGATATATCCTTGTGAACTTGAGATAAAAGATACCACGGAGTCTGACACATCTGTTTCATATTTGGATATTTTACTTGAAAAAGACGTTAATTGTAATCTAACAACCAAGCTTTATGATAAACGTGATGACTTTAACTTTTCAATCGTCAACTTCCCTTACTTATGCAGCAATATACCTTCATCACGTGCATACGGGGTATATATCTCTCAGTTGATTCGATACGCAAGAGCATGCTCTACGTATGTACAATTTCTAAAACGAGGTAAATTATTGACAAATATGTTGATGAAACAAGAATATCAGCTGTCTCGTTTAGAGTCATCATTTCGTAAGTTCTATGGTCGATACAATGACCTTGTCAGCAAATACAATTTATCATTGAGTCAAATGCTGACTGACGTTTTTCACACTAATTGTTAGGCCATTATTTACACACTGAATTGTCGACGGATTTTTCCGTTATTTCCCGATCATGACAAGGAGCACACGGCGGGTGTGACCGGTGGGCAAGGGATGCTCACTCCTCCATGGCACCTGATCCCACCTCTGATGTTTGGAGGTCCGTGTTTGCTCTGCTCCTATTTTGTATTGATTAATGAACTTTTGAGCTTGAATACTGTTCGTTATCTCCATATATTTCATTACAGTGAGTGTCCTGTGAAGTCATTATGCCATAACACATTTGATATCTAACTATATACCATTCCAAGCCCCCCCCCCCTTTTTGAGCATCTGCGTTTAGTCAAAGACTTGAATTCTGTAAACTTCTTCAAACATATCATTTTTCAGTCAATAGGTATAAGTACCTTGATTTCCATCTTTCTATGCAAATGATATTAAGAAATCAATTCGTCTATTGATGCATTTGCCATGTGGTTTTTACCATAAGTGCTTGGTTTCAGGATGGGTGTATAGTGTTTTTGTAGGTGTGTCTGAATATTCTCATTATTTTTTTTTTTGGAAATACTG